TGCTCGCATCTTGATCAACCGAGCAAATATTATTGCTGACTTGAACAATCATCTCTCACAGGATTTTACGTAAACCCGTCTGTTTGTCATTTAGTAAATGTATATTTCTTCTTTTTCTGATACTTAACGTTTTCTTTCCAACTGTAACGTCGAAAATGCTGAAAATTCATCCTATCTGGTGCATAAAGCTTTAATTGACTTGACTTGAGAAGATACGTTCGCCACAGTTTACAGCTCTCGAGTGTTCATGGATGTCTCTGATCATTATTTACGCCGATCCTAAGGACCCTAACGCGACCCGCATATCCAAGTCTACCCTTACGACCGGTGTGAATTGACTTTTTTCCACCCACTACCTACCTCGGTGAACGTCAGGGAAGCCTATGAAGTGACGCATTGAACCCAGCCACCGCAATCCAAAGAGGCCAAGACAGGTAGCACGTGGCTCGGAGTATCTCAGCTTATGCGGGCGACGACTGCCCAATTCAATACGAGGACTTCTCTTGTCAGGAGAAAGCCCCAGGTACTCCGCCCCCACGTTCATCTACCGCAGGTTTTTGACCAGTAAACTGCCCCATCTTCGTGTTTATATGCTGGAGTGATTTCTCCAGGAGTGAAAGTGGATGGTCAAGTAAAGTCAATAACCCTGTGAGGGGTGTACGATCTCGGCCCATTTACCTTTCAGGCACGATTGGATCTGCGGGTGTGAAAGCCATCCTGTCGCTCGCTGGGTCACGGAGGCACGCAAGTCACATTAAGGTGCAGTCTCATCATGATGTCAGCTCGGCGAAAACATTAAGCGAAATATTGTTGGGCTAGGCCCAATGAAAAACATGGTATTTCAAGTAAATTAGTGGCGTTTTTGTTTGCATTTTTAAATTTATCACATCAGATAAGCCATCCAGAAGTTTTTTGCAGAATAACATTGAATAATTTAGCTGACCACCATAGCGATAGTTTTTATTCCTCAAAGAGGAATTCCTTTACATATAAATAACTGGCTTGCGAACAGATGTTAACGGTACGACTCTGATTTAAGTTGATGTGCGGCGTCAGTCACCGTGAGATTCATTATAATTCTCCGTGCGATTAGATTCATGCTAATACCAATGACTGTCCGTGTATTGTGATTGTCCTAAGGAAAGAAACGATTTGCTTTTGTCTCCGCAGAGTGTGAATCGTGGACTTGACTGCGATGTGATTGTTTCCGAAGTACGTGAGACAAGTCACAAACCGGACGAAATCTACGGGGTTATTGAGCGACTTTCACCGGGGACAAGAAAGTTGGAATTATTCGGTCGACCGCACAACTTGCAACCAAATTGGTGAGACCTGTAGAATGTTCATGTTTCTTAATCCAACCCAGTGCTATATTTTTGTTATGATCAAAAATATTGTTTGACTAGCGATAATCTGTTTATTTATGCGCGCATTCAAAGTGAAATTGTGGTAGCAAGAAAGATGTAAAGAAGCTTAGATTGCACAAGATAGGAACGCATAGATCGTGATATGAAACTTGAATCACGTGTCTTCGAGCGAGTTGTATCAATTAGTGACTGTATGTGCGCACAATCATCTAGTATGTGTCTGTATAATCCATTGGAAAGTAACGCTCTGTTTTCCCATGTACATTCGCGGGATGCAGGATCACACTTGGCAACCAACTCGATGGAACATATCTGGTAGACCCGGTCGTGGTGGAGCGATTCAAAAAGCATTACCCCAACGGATTGGATATGCGCTCCAAGTAATTTGCATGCTGAGGACGACTGAAATCTTATTTCTGTACATAGCCATTTTCAATAAAAAAGCAATAAGAACGCCTGTGTTCTTCAAATGAATAGTGAGCGTTTCAGCGGTGTCCTCCATCCGCGTTGTACCCACGGCGTGTGAAGTAGTTGATTTGCAGTAGGTCGTTTTCCGGGATTTCGACAGACGCACGCTTGAAAGACACGGATCAACTCATTGCTGTATCCTTTCGCCTCAAGATCATCCTGTGAATGCGATGTGAGAAAAATAACAAGTTATATAACCGACGGGCAAGTTTTGAATCGCGCATTGGGCCACATAAATCACATGTACTCTGTTTCTATTCTAAACAGCACACCTGCAGTTAGTCGTGCGTGTTAACCAAATGCTTTTTGTGTGTGAAAAACAAAGACAAGATACTCAGACTTACCGCGATTTCCGGCGCTTTGTCATTAGTTAACTTCTCCAGCACCACCTGAATGGGCGATAAACCAACGTAGGGTTCATTTTTTGTGCATAATTCATATAAAATCCACCCAAGACTGTGAATATCTGAAGGCCAAGAATAGCCCACAAAATCTTGACCGATCATCTCGGGACTATACCATGCGGTCGGATGTGATACAGATCCCATGGATTTATCGTACCATAACTTCCATCCACGCCAAGACACATGTATGGGTGGTAGATCATTGCGGAGAATGTTACAGCTCAGAGGGAATTGCGTAAGACTGCCGAGACCGCATAACTGAATGGCCAGTTCATTTGAACTGTCTTCCTTCCGGGCCTCATTCACAAGTAGGTGTTTTGTGCTTAGATTTCGATGTAAAACGCCTCGAGAATGCAATTGTGCTAGACAGTAAACGGCACGACTGAACAGAATGGCTATAGACGTTTCGTCTAAAGGTCTGCTGTGTTGATGCAATAAATCGTACACTGATCCAAACGGGGATAACTGATAGGAGAAAATTATTCGCGTGCCAATTAATTCGATTTTGGTGGGTAAACAGAGACAAGCATCTATTTCCTTCGGTTCATAATCTGTCGCTCCACAGTACAATCGGACTGAAGCCAACTTTTGCAAGAAATTGATATTTGACATCAATGACGACAGATCGGCGCGATCACAAAGTTCCAGATTCACCATTCTCAACCATTTGTTTTGATCTTCATCATACTGATGCTCCACTGCCGGTGTACTGACGGGGTATGTTTGATCACCTTTGATTGGGACATCCAAAGCACTCGACCTAGACAGGAAAAATAATTGAAAATGGGACCACTTACATGAAAGCCTCGTCGCATATCATGTTCCTTTTAAGTAACTATTAACTTCCCTGAAATGGAGTACAGATGGCGCCGGGGATTAGTTACCATTGTTCGATACATACGAAGTGAGAGAAAGACATTCTAGAGGTACAAGACTAATCACTAGTTAATGAGGAAAACTTTTAGCAACTTAAAAATCGACAAGTAGCTAAATTGCGCCACTTCACCGCTCCTTAATCAAACCTATTGGAAAATCTTTCACTGAAATTATTAATTATCCATCGCTTGGAAAGGGAAATGAAATGAGCAGTTTCTCCAGATCCGGCTGATTAAAGACATCAAATTCAAATTTTTATTACGGAAAAATGCAAAGATTTCGCTTATCAAAGTCCATTGGGTGTCTATACTTTGGTTCGGAACACGATTCACAAGATCACAGTTAGTCCATGTAAGTAAAATAGTAATGTTTTTGACGAGCATCGGAGAATATATTATGTAGTTGGGTGTTGAAACAATGTTTGCCAGAGCATCATCAGGGATGGTTGGGCTGTTGGTAAATCCGATACAGTAAGATTATATCACTCCTGATTTGACGATATTGAGACGAGTAAAGCCCCAATAGCTGTAATCTTTCGCCATAGTTCTTGGAGTGTAGACCTTTAACCATCTTCGTAGCCATCCTCTGCGGATGTTCGAGCGCCTTTCGATCTCGTTGCAGCCATGGATCCCAGGCCTGAGTTAAGTACTCGGTGTATGGACGGATATGTGGCTAACAGACATGAAAACAAAGTTGGTTCAAATGATCCAAAAACACGTTTAAGCAGTTTAACCTGTTTTACCACCATGGATGATGCCCTGGAACAATTTTTGGAGCAACTCTGGTTTGTGCGATGGAGCACCAGGCAGAGTTTCATGTCCGAGAATGTAGGAAAAACGACCATTGTGACGTAGTGATAAGACTTTACATTTGGTAACGTTGAATTCCATGTCATTGGAGACAAATCATCTGTGGGCTTNGTCAAGGGCGTTCTGGAGATCAAATGAATCTTCTGGTTTTGTTATTATTCTCCATATTTTAGCATCGTCTGCAAAAATAGCAGAGCGTGTGGTCCGAGAACGTCTGGAAGATACTTTACAAAGGCAAGGAAAAGATGCTGGCCTAGCACAGATCCCTGTGGAACCCCACGGTTGACATCTATTAGATCAGAAAGTGAATCGAAAATACGAACTGACATGGTGCGTGGGCGAAGAAACCCCTCGATCCATCCAAGAACGAGTCCACGGATTATACAGCTTCCGTATCAGTATTTGATGATTTAAGCTATCAAATGCTTGAGAGAAGTTCAGATAAATAGCGTCTAAAGCATAAGTCCAATCGTCCCGAGCCAAAAACGAGTTAGTTGCGCATGAACGATTTTTTCGAAATCCGTGCTGGGCTGGGGATAGTAAGCCATTATTTTCCAGATGATTCATTACAGAATCTGCAACAGTGGATTCCAGGACTTTGGAAAACACTGGAAGGAGTGTAACGGGTCGGTAGTTGGCTGGGTCACTACGGTATCTACCTTTGTAAATTGGTGAAATGACACCGTTTTTCCACACCTGAGGAAGCACAGTATCTTCAAACAATTTTTGGTATAGTCCAATTAAAAGATCGACTATGTGACTTGCCAGGGTGATAAACCCGGTGACGATATCTTCTTTAAAGCCGGGAGTTTTGCATTTATCCTTTCGGGAGAAAAGATAATGTCTGTCGGTAATGGGTAAGGATAATGTTCCAGCAAACGGGGAATTACTAACCCAGTATTATTAGGCGCACTGATCATTTGAGAGTACTGTAGTCTAAGCATTTTTGCAGACTCCTTGGTTGTCGTTGAAACACGTCGAAACCCCGTGTTTGACTTTCCGGGAAGCGTTTTCCTGCTTACATAATAGCTTAGGGTTTGCGATAAATTTCCTCGCCAGCATATCACGAAAAGTGTGCTTGTCTTCCCGCACTAAATGGGTACAATGGTTTCGAAGGAGCCAGTAAGATTCCCAAGTGGGCATGGACAACGTTGGAACTCCCTGCAGTAAAAGTTCCATTGAATTATCAATTTCCTAGTTTGACTGCGAATTGCTGATTTTCGAACAGTCGGCTGGTATAGACGCTTGCCGGATGTAACAGCAGCCACCAATGGTGCGATGCTGTTAGTAAATTGTCTCCAGGATTCCAGGGGATTGCATCCTACATCAAGGGAGATCCACTGGATTCCATGAGCCGGGGTGTTTAGTCTTTCATAGTCGGTTATGATGCGAAAGCGACCCGAAGAAACCGTTGTTACTGATGCATAGCAAAAGTACTCGAGCAATAATACAGCATGATCACCGCGCCCCAAGGGAGTTGCGATTGCAATTGATTCTACCATCAATTCTTCATTTCTCAGTACTAAATCCAAAGTTGACGAAATTTGGTTGGTTCCAAACCTGGTGGGTTCCTTCACATGATTGTACAGCGGATGTGACTGGATGAACTACATGAATTGTTGCTCAAACGGCGTACATGAGGTCGTCATAAAGGATTTTATTTATCTCAAAATGATGTTTCAGCTGTTTACAACCATTAACCATGCACCTCTGTGCGGCTGTTTCGGTTTCTGTCCATTTGGATGAGCAGTAAGAGAAAGACAGGAAGCCTGAAATAGATTCGAAGAAAAAATGGACTAAGGTTGCAAAGAAATTGAGATGCACGAACGCCATTGTTTACGACACATCCTAATCACCGGTTATCATGATCGTGACATGCACACCACATGTTCCAACTAACCTGATAATCCTTGGAAGGATGAAAGATGAAGAGCCCCAGATAGTGATAGAAAAGCCTGGACAAGGAAAGTGCGACACGAAATCCAGGTCTCATCTGTGTAAGCAAAAGATGAGGCAAGTGGCTATTACGCCGTTAGGTAAATCAACACAAAGAAGGGTAAGGCTGGGCGCAAAAATAGGGGTAAAAGTTCGGCTGACGAAATTCCGACGGAGACTTGAGCAACCGTTGAGGATACAACGTCGGAGGAACCAGCCAGGTCAGGCAAACACCATCCCATCGTAGGAATGGCAGGAATGGCCAAAAACGCAGTTGAGAGCTGTGGACCAGCTGTCGGGGAATTCGCAAGTTCTTTGGGGGTATAACTTGGTCAGTGATGCAGTTCACAGGAGTGAAAAGTAAAAAAAGCGGGTTGATCTGTCAGGCCTTACGCTCGAGGGTGTTCCGGGAAACGAGGTGGACTAATCAAGGGAAGCGGGCGGAAACAACCACTATGTGGTACAACAACATTTGCAGTATTAAAGCTAAGTGCGGCGAACTGGGGGCTTAAATTCGTGGTTCAGTGATCATGGTGATCACATGCTGCACAAAGGGCAGGTCACTAACTGCTCCACCACCATAACTGTATAGCGTAATACAATGAAGCCAATCGCAATGATCGCTGCAAACTCATTTTACACGGTAAGTGAGAACGTGTAAGAAGGAAAAGAAAGTGAACCTCTATTGTCAACAAACAGAGCACAGTTTAACTGTGCATATATGCTATTTCAATCATTCTGATCTCATAAGAAATGCCCCCAAGATTGCCACTGCTGTCGGTCTGCTCCCGTGACCTTCAGTGTTTAAGCATGTGATTACGGAGTCTTTTGGATCCCATTCATTGCACAGTCTACAGGTAGGATAGAGCGGATGGTAGATAAGGAGGTGGGGTGTTGTTACTGTTTAAAGTGCATATCAATCAATGAAAAGCCCTAGCAATGGTTCGCAACGTCCTGTTCTTTAGAGGGCCACTAGGCATACTGTATGGATGTACAGAATACGGTAGGCTACTTCGAGTGAGAACATTGAACTGCTTGAAGTTATGCAAGGGCTATTTTCGAATTCCCAGAGTGTCATAAGAGATGGGAACTTCAATTTCCCAGAGATCAACTGGGTGTATGCATGCGCAACTAGCGGTCTTACATAGGGAAACTTTTCTCGAATGGATACACTCCCAAGATTGGACACGCATTATGCAGGCCACGAAATTTAGGGATATACAGAGGTCTTCTACTTTGGAACTCGCAATAACAAGGTAGGCAAAGGATATGGGCACAATAAAACTAGAACCACTGGGTAAGTAATCATTTGGTGTTAAGATTCCCGTTGCTGGTAAAGCACAGAAAGATGGGAGCTTCGCTGACACGATGTTATAATAGTATAAATGAGGTGGTTTTGCGTGCAGCAGCAGAGCAGGAAATCAGGATACCAGAATCTCCATAGTTGACAGCGAGTGAGAGATGAATTAAGATCAAAATAAATATTTGTCGANCCCTAGGCTTGAAAAACAAAGACCAGTGTGGTGAAAGGCCAAGTTAGATAGGGCACTGACAATACGCAGATGTTGGGTAACCTATAGAAAATATGGCACACATCAGACATGGTGCCAATACAAGAAAGAACACAAAGAAGCAAAGGGATAACATTTACGAAAGGAATTTGGCACAGCACAGTAAAAAATCCCCAAAAGCTATATGCATATGAACAAAACTTGAAACAAAGCATAAATAAATTGTCTAATCATCCACATACTACTTATA